CATTTTCTAACAATAACTGATGTGACGAGATGTCGAAAATTTAGTGGATGGACAACACAACTCACCGCCAACTCCTTTATCGTTGCCATCGTACTTTAATAATTTTTGAAGGTCAAATTCACTTACTATTATTAGGGATTGAACACTAATCTCAATTGTTAAAGCAATAACAAGTAAAGTGCAGGCATAAGTTTATATCGACCCCTCGACACAATAGTTATGTCCACTTGTTGTCGTGGCACGTTTTCACTTTAATGAAGAAAAAGTGATTGAACACTAATCTCAATTGTTAAAGCAATAACAAGTAAAGTGCAGGCATAAGTTTATATCGACCCCTCGACACAATAGTTATTTCCACTTTTTGTCGTTGCACGTTTTCACTTTAATGAAGAAAAAGTATATTATTCACGCCTCTATAGTCCATAAAAAGTTTATTACTTGCTGCAGACCTATCTTCCAAGCGAAACACCGGAACCACTAGTCAAATACAGAGAAGAAGAATTAGTTAACTTGAGAGGAAATGGAAGTGGACAACTTGAAGAATGGGACAGGGTATATGACTATGCTTACTACAATGATTTAGGAGATCCTGATCAAGGTTCCGATTATGCTAGGCCGGTCCTTGGAGGATCCGTGGAGTATCCATATCCTCGCAGGGGAAGAACCGGTCGTCCTCCAACAAAGACAGGTAAGGTTATGATGCATCCATTTCAATACAATTTCGACAAAAGCATTATGTAAGTTGATCACATTATGTCTTCAATATTATATCGGCAGATCCGAATTCTGAGAGCAGGATTCCACTGCTTATGAGCTTAGATATTTACGTTCCAAGGGATGAACGTTTTGGACACCTGAAGATGTCGGATTTTCTTGCTTATGCACTAAAATCCGTCGTTCAGTTTCTTCTCCCGGAGTTTGAGGATCTATGTGACAGTATTCATAATGAGTTTGACAGCTTCGAAGATGTACTTCAAATCTATGAAGGAGGGTTCAAGCTACCAGAAGGTCATTTGCTAAAAAATATTTTCAAAAACATTCCCTTGGAGATGCTAAAGGAACTTCTTCGAAGTGATGGCGAGGGGCTTTTCAAATTCCCATTGCCTCGGGTTATCAAAGGTACAAGACACGACTATGTTATGTTCATCTCCTTCTCCCCGTCCCTCCTCTCCCTTTCTCTCAATCACACTAATTGCTATGTGCCTTTGTGTTGGAACAGATGATAAATCTGCATGGAGAACAGACGAAGAATTCGCGAGAGAGATGTTGGCAGGAATGAACCCAGTCATAATTAGCCGTCTCCAGGTGCATTGAGTGCATGTTTGGTATACAGTATTAGACTATACTGAATATGCAATACACAAAATATTAGCTTACTTTTCTTTCTTATAATTATGTCGAGACTTCAAAGTACAAGCCTAATGCATTGTCAATTTTATTTTACTTTCTAACTCGCAGGAGTTTCCTCTGACAAGTAAGCTGGATCCGAATCTCTACGGTGAACAAACTAGCACAATAGCAAGAGGCCACATAGAGAATAAGTTGGATGGACTAACAATTGACGAGGTAATCTGAAGTGGCTTATTTCTTTTCGACTCATATGATCCAACTAAAATTCAGCTTCTGAATTATAGAAGTTTTGACTCATTAATTCTAGAAAATGATAATGGTGTATAATTTTGTTAACAGGCAATCAAGACGAACAAACTATTCATATTGAACCACCATGATACACTTATGCCTTATTTAAGGCGAATAAACTCGACTACCACAAAAACTTATGCCTCAAGAACTCTGCTTTTCTTGCAAAAAGACGGAAGTTTGAAGCCATTAGCAATTGAACTGAGCTTACCACATCCGGATGGATACCAGTTCGGTGCCATTAGCAAAGTATACTTACCTGCTGAGCACGGGATCGACAGTTCTATATGGCAATTGGCTAAAGCTTATGTCGCCATCAATGACTCTGGTGTTCATCAGTTAATTAGCCACTGGTATCAAAATATGATAAAATACTTTGTTTAGGACTCATTAATCTTAAACTGGCATTCGATTTATGTGTATTTGCTGGCAGGTTAAATACACATGCTTCAATTGAGCCATTCGTGATTGCAACAAATAGGCAGCTAAGTGTGCTTCACCCTATCCATAAACTTCTTCATCCTCACTTCCGTGACACAATGAACATAAATTCTGTGGGACGACAAATCTTGATTAACGCTGGAGGAATCCTTGAGGCTACAGTTTTTCCGGCAAAGTATTCCATGGAAATGTCGGCTGTGATTTATAAGGACTGGGTTTTCACAGAACAAGGACTCCCTGCTGATCTACTTAAGAGGTAAAATACTAATTATGGAAAAACACAATCACACTATTATGGAAGTAATATCTTATTTTTGTTCATATGTTTAACAATTCGATCAATTTTTTTTCCAGAGGAATGGCAGTGGAGGACTCTAATTCACCACATGGTCTTCGTCTATTGATCGAAGACTATCCTTATGCTGTTGATGGACTCGAGATCTGGTCAGCAATAAAAACATGGGTACAGGACTACTGCAACTTCTACTATACATCAGACATTTTGGTTCAGAAAGACACTGAACTTCAGTCCTGGTGGACCGAAGTCCGGGAAAAGGGACATGGAGACAAAAAGAACGAGTCCTGGTGGCCTAAATTGCAGACTCGAGAAGAACTAGTCGACTCCTGCACTACTATAATATGGATGGCATCTGCTCTCCATGCTGCTGTCAATTTTGGGCAGTACCCCTATGCTGGCTATCTCCCTGTTCGTCCTACCTTAAGTAGGAGGTTCATGCCAGAACCTGGAACTTCCGAGTATGATGAGCTCAAGACGAACCCGGATAAGGTTTTCCTGAAGACAATTACTGCTCGGCTACAGACATTACTGGGCATTTCCTTGATAGAAATTTTGTCAAGGCATTCATCTGATGAGGTTTACCTTGGACAGAGAGACACTTTTGAATGGACTAAGGATGTGGAACCACTTGAAGCTTTCGACAGATTTGGGACGAAGTTGACGGAAGTAGAGGAACGAATCAAACAGATGAACAACGACAAAAAATGGAGAAACCGGGTTGGACCAGTGAATGTTCCATACACTTTACTTTATCCTTCAAGTGAAGAGGGACTTACTGGCAAGGGAATTCCCAACAGTGTCTCAATCTGAAGCTTTTCTGTTTAGAGGTATTGTATTTGTATGCATATTCGTTACATTTCTTTTAGTGTCGAAGAAGGTTTGATGAGGGAAAATTGTAACGCAGATTGATGTATTCTCATTTACAATAATGTATAATAGTGCAACATCATAAATTATACGACATAGAATAAACGAATCGATTTAAGACTATCTTATCTCACATGTTGGTTCTAATACTGTCCAAATTCGACCTAAATGCCATGTCGTCTAACCTACCGATGTGTACACTCGAAGTACGATTCAAGCTAGGTGGCTAAAGCATACTCGGTCAAGTTTAATGCCGGCCTTCTGACCTATGAAGACAACTTAGCCGAACAATTGAGCTATAAACCTCAGACTTTCATCACAAATAACTGGCCACATCACAATGCCTTTTACTATCAACATGGTTAATATTTGCCATTTCAAAAACGCTACAGAATCTTCTTTATACATGACTAACTATAACAAATAAAGAAACTTGTAATATTGAGACCAGACCAAATCTATCAAAACCAGTTGGCCCGGTAAAACCTAGAATTGGTTTTGGGACCAAGGCAGTTAGCCTCTAAAATCATCGCACAAGTTATCGCTAAAAGAGTTTTGCATTGTGAGTTTAAAAAATTGCGATTTTATGTAATTTTTTGTGATTGAATATGCCCGTCCAATGGAGCTATTTGAAAAAATCACTTCATTTTTGTCGGTCCCACTGGCCGTGCTACTCGAACAGGGCCACGCGTAGGCCCTGCTCAAGCAACTTTATTCTAAATCTTTTTTTTATCAGTTAATGCGAATATATATTGATCATAAGACGAGTACAAAATAGGGAGACAAGTACAAAACAGGACCTACATGGCCTTATTCAATCAAATGTATTCTAAACTATTTTTTTTATTATATATTAATCATAAGACGAGTACAATTACTTCGGACATCTTTGAGCAATGATCATCAAACGCTATATCAACGATTACAAATTAAAGTCCAATCGCTAAAGTTTCAAATTGAATAAAAACATGATGGTGCAATATAAATATTACCTTGTATACATGTGTTTTGATGTTTCGAATAATGCTATCCACTTGGTTGTAGATCCTCAAAGATTTTCCTGTTTCTAATTGTCCATATTTCGTAGATGGTACATGCAAGAACAATTCTCTTTGCTTTGCTATGCCTAGATTTCCCGTGTGCTTCATTTTTAATCCATTTTACTGCGCTGCTAGTAGTCGTCATTGAGCGTGTAATCCCCAACCATGCTCTAAAGTGACCCCAAATGGATGAATTGAATGAACATTGGAAGAATAGCTTAGAAATCATATTCTAAACTATTTGTTAGTGTTTGTGAGTATCATATGTTTACCATCTTGATTGACAATATTGAAAATGACTGGATTTGATGATAGGGGAAATCACCTAATGAAAATTCAACTTTCTCGTGTGTCCAAGGTCATCATATTTTAATGAAAATGAATTTTTAAACCTAAGAAAAGCAAATAAGTTAGCGTTAAGCAACATTAGTTACGGACATGATGTCATAAACTTTAGACTCGATTCGACTTAATCGTTTTTCCCTTTTTTTTTTTTTTTAAAGCCAATTCTTGGACCCATTTTTAAAACAATGGTCTAAAACAATTTTGGGGAATTTTGTTTTGTAGTTATGAGAAAATATTGTGAAGGAAAGTATAAATATCTTCCAGTTCAAGTGTATCAAAGTGCAGTGTCAAGGGTTTAAGCAATCGGCCTTAATGTTCCATGGCAGGGTTTTAGGTTTCCACTTGTTTTCCTCTCTCTAAAACAAGAAATGGTCTTCTCTCACCTTCTCCTCAGGCGCCTAAAATGCCACCCAATTGCAATACCTCACCGCTTCCTCCTCTACAAAATTCCCAAAAAACCCTTATCTTCCCTCTCCAGTTCGGATTCCGCACAATCCAATCCCGCCCCCGTCACCGCGCAACCCACCTCCTTGTCAGCTCGGATGAGCTTCGTCTTCGAACAAATTGACGCCATCGATAAACAACGGGCCGAAAAGGACCAAACTTTGCAGCGCATCCGCGCTTGGCGCGAATCAAAGAAGCAAAACCCCACTGAGCCAAACCGGGATTCATCCAAGGCTGACTCAGAAGTGGAACTTCAGTCTGGATTTGTACAAGAGATTAAGGATGAGAATAGTAGTGAAGGGTTGTCAGCGAATGTGAAACGGGAGGTGGAGTTGGTGCACCCGTGGCCGGAGTGGATAGAACTTCTGGAGAGGCTGGTGCAGCAGAATTATTTTGATCACAGGAGGAAAGATGAGGATGGTATGATGGAAAAGTTAGGCTTCGATGTATCTGAAGCTGCTGAGGACAAAGTAGCTGATTTTACCCGGGATTTTAAGAGTGTACAGACTGCTGTCCTCAATTTCGGCAAAGACCGCTTCGATATCTTGAGGTCAATTTTAGTGCATAGTATATAGTTAGTAGTAACACATTTATATACATGTTTGTGCGTGTATTTCATGTGCTGTAATATTGTTTGATTAGTAGAAGAATGCTGATTGATTTGAGACTATGGTGTTTGATGACATGTCTAATTGCTGAAAATGCAATATTATGCTTCATATGATGTTTTTTTTTTCCTTCAAAAGAGATGTATAGTAAAATCAAATTTTAATTTTCCTATATTCAAATTCAATTCTGCTATTGGATAAGGAGTTTCAGTTTAAGGTATCTGGAGCATCTTGCCCTTGGTGATGATTTGGGTAAGAAAGAAGAAATTTACATTGGTTCTGTTTTAATTTAAGTAATTTGTTTTTCCTTTTCTTTCCTAAAGGTGGGGGGAAGAGGGGATATAAAGGGGTACAAGATACAGAACTGTTATTATTATGAAGAGAAGATGTCAATAGGATAAACTTTTTTGGTGTACACTGCCTTAGTGGCTTGTGATTTAACGTATGTGACAGAAAGTCCCAGTCTCCATTTGGGTGTTGAAGAAGTTGGAAAGACCACTTGAATGGAGCATTGTGCTCCATCTTGTTATCTGGATACTCTGTGACCTCTCTAAACAAGAATTAGAGAGGATTATAAGTTCATCTAACTAATTCATTTGCCTAGTGGTTATTATATCCTGTTGAACCATTGCAATCTCATTATACATATTCCCATTACACAGACAAGAAAAGAGAATACAAAAGAAGAGACCTTAAGCCACAACCGTTTTGGTAATGACGTTTCGTGTTCCCTTTTTCTCTTGTTTGGGATCCGCGTGTTTTCATTTCTTGACCCGTGAGAGAAGATATAGCATAAAAAAGGAGTGCTAGATTGATTGACCAATCTACATAACATAAACATAGTATAATTAGTGTTCTATATACACTGCCTTAGTATAGGTACATCATTTTTCTGGAAAGCAGAAAATCAGTATACAATTTATAAATTACACTATTGAAGTAATTATGCAAACACATTATTTGCCTATAAAGTTAGTTTTTTATGCTAATCATTTATTGCTGTAGGGTTAAAAAGCTTTTTGAACTACTATTATTTTTTTGGTTCATGTTTTGTGTTAGTGGCGGGTTGTGAATTTATTGTGCATAGTCTGTTGCTGTCATTTTACAAGTGCCACATTGCTTGAGACATGCTTAGAACAAAAATTGTTTTCAGGTCATTGTCAAGACAGGATATCCAAATATTGGTTGGTTATGGATGCCCTAGTACAGACAAAAGGGTGGTTTTTTCTGCAAAATTGTTGAGGAAGCATGTGCATTTAGATGAAGGAGATGTAAGTCTTAAAAGTCTGCACTCAATTTTAATTTCACGAGATAGTACAAATCCAGTAAGCATTTGCATGGGGTTATTATAAATAGATTGAAGAATCAAGGCAAAGCAAAAAAATAAAGCTTCTTGCCTTTATTATTACATTCCTTGCATTACAATAAGATATATTCTATGCAGCAAAATATATAGATCTCAAATGATAGAAAGCTTGACAGCCCATTCACTTCATTCTGATGAGAAGGTTATAATATTCTGGGTTTTGCTTTGTTCAATTGGATCCTTTTTATTGATTTTTATGGTTCAAAAACCAAATCATACCAGTAATTAGAAACTTCCGTACAGAGTTCTTTCACGGAATAACATTAATACAAATATTAAAGGTAAATTTGAAAACAATGTTATGACCACCTCGTTATACTACTGAATTTTAAATCCCAGATTTTGGAATTTGATTGTGTTTTGAGTTTAAAGCCAATGCACCTCTCCTTTGGCCTCTTGGTTTAATCTGACATGTGAGGCTGGCCACACCGTCAAATTGAAAACACTCATTTGCAATAACACTTTAACAATCATAAAGGGGAGAATGAGTGCTGCTTTACAATTCGCATTTCATTTCCAGGTTCACAATTGTACTGGTTCTCCAAAAATTGAGATAAGTACTCTGTATCCATGTGGGTTGTGTGAAAAGAATAAATTCTGAAACAACATTGTTAACAAGGGAGAGATAGCTCATTCTGGTTTATAGAGTCCATTATTGCTTAATAATGCTAAACATATCCATGTACTTTTGCTGCAGTTATCATCTTTAATTAGGTTTATCAGTTATAATCAGTGAATAAATTGTTACAAGAAATTAGACCATTTCTTATTATTCTTCATATTTCAGGTCTGCAGTTCCTGCAGTTTGAGGAGTTCTTGTGATAAAGCATATCTTCTCACAAATAAAGAGGATGAACCAAGGACTATTGATGTCATGCGAGTCCTACTGACATATGGTTTTGATCCAGTGAATGGATCAGTCAATAATATGTCCCTTTTGAAAATGAAATCTGTGAAGACTGTTGTCCGTAAGTTGATCCATGAGGTAGTCAAGTTAGGTTCAGTTCCCATAGATCCAAATCTTCCTCCGCCTGTTATTAAGAAGCCTCCGCCGAAGGTGAAGCAACCACCTCCCCCTCCAAAGAAGCGAGTCGGACGTGATGACATTGAAATGAAAAAGGGCGATTGGCTTTGTCCGAAGTAGGTTTCACTGCCTGTAGTTCAGTTATTTTTTGTGCTTTGTCTCATTAATTCATATTTGCATCTTCTTTCGCTAATATATCTTTCTCAATAGCACTTTGTTGGTTCTCCTACAGCAAAAACAGTTTTTTAATTCAAAAATCATATTTATTTGCTGCATATTGTTAATATTAGTTATTGTCTCAGGTGCGACTTTATGAACTTTGCGAAAAATACTGTCTGCCTGCAATGTGATGCCAAGCGCCCTAAAAGGCAGTTGCTTCCAGGGGAATGGGAGTGCCCCCAGTATGTATCCACTTTTCTCTTTCCCTGTGCTACTTGGAGTTCTCTACTTTGATTATCTTGTTGTCATGTACCCTATATGAGAAGGAATTCAAACTTACGAGCTGGTTTCAAAAATACTGGAAAATATCTTCTACAGGCTGAAAGCTTGTGTTGATTTGGATGAGTGGTCTTCTTATTTATCAATAAAAATTAGATATGACCTCTTAGAAATATTCACTTATGCCCCTTCATTATATCTTGTCCTGTCCGATGTACCTAATATCTCCTTATGGCATCTTAGGTTGGGAGTATTGAATAGTTCTGGATGGTATCAAAGAACAAAAAGAAGCTAAATAATTTTTTTCGTTATTTTGTCCATGATACTGCATAACAAATATGCACGTAATGCTTTATTACATGTACGACACAGTACAGTTGTAGGAGCAACTGTTTCTGAACCAGTGGAGGGTCCTCCATCCTTCAATATTGGACCTTAATATTAGAGTAATGCTATTTGTACATCATGATTTACAGATTGATGTACAGAATGATGGCATGGAAGAGAGAAAGAGACGAAAAAAAGAAGCCAGTTACAAATCAAATAATATAATCCACATCATTATTCTGCACACTTTCCGAGTCCGAGGGACTATTGCTGTAGAATCTATTAATAGCATTCAAGGTTAAACATGACTCCTAGAGAGTTACCAAAATACGAAGTTCTTTTCTCCTTTCGTTCTCTTCTTTCTTTTTGATTTTGACTTGGTTGGCAGGATCAGGGACAAGGTTAAACATGACTCCTAGAGAGTTACATGTAAACCATGATGTACAAATATTATATAAGTGCTTTAAGCTTACTGCTCTAGAGTTTCATGTAGTGGCTGATCCTGTGCTTTGACAGGTGCAATTTCTTGAACTATAGGAGAAACACAGTATGTTTTCATTGTGAGCACAATCGCCCAGCTGATACATATACAGAGCCCCAATTTCCCGAAAAGCGAAATGGTAGCAGGTTCAGGACGGAAAAGATCTCTAGCAGGGAAGAGGTTTCTAATGCATGGAATTTTGATTTTGATGACAATGAATCGGATGGAGCAGATGTAGCTTCATTTGAGTATGCTGATTCTAAGAAACCGGGTGATGATTTTCCGTTAAGTCGGCAAGCCATTGGCGAAATTTCTAAAGGAAATGAAGATGGTTTCTACAAAAGCAGCAGGCCTCCAAGGATGGATGAACCAGAGTATTCCAATAAGCCTAGAACAGGATTCAACGATTTTGATGATGAAGATGATGTTGACAATTACGAGTTAGATACTCGAAATGACGCGTTGAAGACTTCTCGAATAGATTTCTCCGAACTTGAATCGGACTCTGAATCTGAAGATATAGAAAGCAATGACAGGAATAGGAATGCTCATGGTAGAACTAGTTCTCGAATGCACAGTAAGAAACCATCACATCACAAAGGGTCATTGTCTGGCTCTGAGGATGCTGAAGTAGACTTTGATTCGGATGATGACCTTCCAGTTCATCCGAATTGGAAATCAACCCATGTTGCTAATTTTAAACAAAGAACTAGAGACAGACGTGCCCTAAGTTTTGGTTCAGACGATGACCTTGGGTACAGCTCAGGCGGGGATAAAACTTTTAAATCCAGGCAAAATGAAGGAAAAAACTGGGGTTCTAACAGAATTGCATTTGAAAGACGAGGAAGATCTAATATTGGAGCTGAACCTTTTTCTGACTCAGAATCTGATGATGACCTAGGTTATCGTGGAGATGAACGAAGAGGTAAAAAAGCAGGCCTGAATCGCCAAGGAAAATCTTTAACTGGCCGGAGTATGATGGGGTATCGGAAAAACTCTCCGAGGGATGATGTTAACAGATCTTCCCAAGGTCCTCGTTATGATAGAGGTACTCGAGAGAATGGTTACGAGCATGGAATGAATGCTAGAGATAGTGGCTCGGCGAAGTTCCGAAGCCTGAGACGAGGTGGATCATTTAATAAGCAAGGAGGAAAATCTGATAATTTTGGTAATCGATCAGACAGTTATCTGGACGACGAGAGATACCGGAGACCAAGGGTAAATGTACGATGAATGTTAACTTTGTCTCCGAACAAAGTCTTCATTTAGGGAAGCAGGCTGCTGATACTGTCCATAGGGAACAACTTGCTTATTTTCATCTGAAGCAAATTAACTAGACTATTTAATGCATTTTAGAATTTGGTTTCTGTACATGACCTGCATAACTGTTGCTGTCTGCCTAAAATTTAATTTTTTCTTCATAGGATTCTGCTTCTACAGCTTCTTTACAACTAAAAACTGGTAGTCTTTTCAGAATGTGACCCGAGCATTTATCCATATTCATTTTTATTTGCAATAAATTCACTTATTTTTTGCTACTAATTTGACATTTGTATAAATAATCATCATATCTTTTGATTTCCTGGGTAGTCTTCATCTTTCTTTTATTTTCACAGTTTGCATGAGAAGACGATGACTTAATGCCACATGGCAACCTATCATAAAACATAGTCAGTTTTTTTATTCAATCACATCTTGTCAACATCTTTTATGTCGTCGTATTTATCACCTACTTTCTGGCAAAGTAGTATTATTCAAAGAATAGTCATATTAATCTTTGTTCCCTTACCAAGAAATTGGGCTCGAGATAAAACCCTGAGGAAGGCATTGTAGTAAACTAGTAATTACCATGGAGAATAGTACTATTTGGATATTCGATCTTCAACTCCTCGATGGCTGCTGCAAATGCGCGTTATGATTGATTGAGGAGCATAATGCCAAGAAAAAAAGTGGAGATTAGAAGTGCAGGAGGCGCTATAGATTGAGGACTGCAGCTGCAATTTCTCACAATTGCGCAAATTAAGGAATAGCTTGTACAATTATCTAATAGATTATTCTTTCAAATTGTGAATGTTTTCATTAATCCCATTCTCTTCTCGTAACACAATGAACTCGAGATACTATAAATTTCGTATTCGACTAATGTGCAGCCAATTCCAAGTGTGTATCTCTTCTTTACTCTCAAATGACAACTTTATTTTCTCTCGTCGCCATCTCATCGACGAGCATAAATTAATTAATAAATATAAGATATGACTTTTGTGAAAGTAATTCTATATCCCATTCTTCAGGTATAATTTTCTTTGATCATTTTTTTTTTCTTATTTTCAAACCTGTTTAGATAACTTACTTTATGCCTTGCTTTTACGTAAAAAAAAATTACTTATTTGAAAGTAACTATTTTAACTCAATTTGAAAGGACCATTTAAAAAATACCTATTATTCACTTACCATTAAACTTTTCAAGCTTAGGCAAACATGCTTTTACACGAAATGTTTGGCTAAGCCTCAAAAAATTAAATATACTTTTCGGAAAGTAAAGACTGACTTAAAAATGTAGAATCAACAATATTGTTGACAATATGTCATGTGGCATGTCGTCATTGAACAATTTAAAAAAATAACTTATCTTTTCAATCAACAATTTTTTGTCACCTACCATATTGTCAACTATGTTGTCAACTAACATTGTACAAATAAATTAGTCCCAAAAAATAATTGTTTGTACTAAAAGTTCCTTTTATATTTTTGGTAAACATGTTTACAAAAAAAAAAATATATATGAGAGAATGTGATCCTCCTAATACACAATTTTTGTTGTGAGTATGGACAAAATATTACTTTTAAATGCTTTTACTTTTCTTAGGCCTTGGCAAACATTCTCTCTAACCTAATCTGAGAGAATGTGATCCTCCTAATACACAATTTTAGTATCGTTCACAACTATTTGAATTAATTGAAGTTAGGTTTACCTTCTAAAAACATTATTTCCTATTACACAAGTTAAAATCCAAATGTACCTTCTCTTTTACTCATTTTAGTTTTCTATTCTCTATACTCAACAAATTTGAATGATGACCCGTTATGTGTGTTTAAGAAATCAATAATAACGCTTAGTTTGATATCACCCATGTTTTCAAAAAATTGTAGGTGGGAAAAGATTTTTTTTAAAATGGTCCAATGGCATGCTATCACATGACAATATGTAAACAATAATATAAAAAATGATGTATATGTAGCATAATTGTTAAAAAATATGCTCTTTTAGTTATTCAACAGAACTTCTCATAAAGTATGAGAGCACACATACTCAACAAATGAATAATCTAATATTTTCTTAGTGAACTTGGATTTGACCTAGTGTAATAGGTGTAGCTCTATTGTTTGGTGGGAATTAAAATTAAATTTTTAGTGGATTGTGATAGAAGTTTTTGAAATGTGTAGTTGAAAAGTTGTGGGACCCATGAAAGATGTGATTAATATTAATTGTTTGACTTTGATTTGAATTAAAATCAAATTTTAATCCGCACCAAACATGGCCATAATTTAACCTACTTTAAAGTTAATGTTTCCAACCTTTTATCTGAGGAAATGAAAAGATGTTCATCAGCATTTTCCCTTGTGATTCCCACTGTCCACAAGTTGCAACTCAATCCAAGGAAGATATTGGAAAAGTGGTCCCAAAGATTAGATAAACCATAACTTTGGCAAAAGAATATATGAGAAGCTCTCATTTTAGAAGCCCTTTTTTGTGTGTAAACATATATCAGATTAATAAAGTATTAGCATGCCTTGTACGTACCAAAACCCTGTTTTGCCATGTTCAACTGTGTGGGAAATCCTAACCCTTTCTTTTTGGGAAACTGATAAGTTCATTTGACTAGTTATCTATGATGAGAAACATCGAGTATATGGGTTGACTAAAAGAGTGAACGAACGCTGCTCTATAATGTGAGTGAGATAGAGATAGGGATCAAAATCAAACTTTGGGCAGTGTTAGAAACTACAAAAGGAATGTGATTGAGACTCGAATAGTGAAAAGAAAGAAGGAATTAAAACAAACAATCACCCTACTTTAGAAATAATCAAAGTTTCTTTGATCATTGGGTATATTATATGTAGAACCGAATTCGAGTTGAACTATGTTCCTGGGAAAATTCTATTGTACGAACTATGGACTAGAAACTTAATTGTGATAATAAAAATAAATACAGCAAACCAAGCATTAAAACACAAATTAAAGGAGCCAAAATACTACCCTAAGAAAGAATCAAATGAGATAGAAACGAGGGATTGGGAAACAACTTTCTTAAAGATGAAAGGACTAACCTGCAGGTAATCTTAAGCAAGGACAGAAAGGAAATAAGGAGTAGATAATAAAATATCAACAAATTAGGGTTCCATTTCAAAAGGTTAACCTAATAGGTAGAATCTTCTCATAAGCCCGGCCATCACGCATCACTTTGTGTAACCGGTGTGGGACTTAGTTCACACTTTTCTGAACGAATAGGGCGAAACCAGGCAAGCATATCAGAGCCCCGTGCCATTATCAGCAAATGTAGAGGGTCTTGGAACACAAGGACACAAAAAAGAACCACAGTGCCTGCCACCATGGTACACCACCAGAAAGATAACCATCAATAAAAACAAAACAAACCAAAATGAATACTAATGCAAGGGGACTCCAGCAATGGAAAAAATAATAATAATAATAAAGAAGGCTAAAAATAAGAAACCCCGTTTGCAAGATCTTACAATTAATAAGGCAAGCAAATATGTACAAGATTCGATAATTCATAAAGCACCAATTACAGAGGAAGAAGTAGTGTTTGAGTTTTCGATAACTACTAAAAGCCTATCTTCCCTCAACTGCTAACTATGTCAACAGCTAATCAACTATTTTTGAGGACATGGACTTAACACAAAGAAAAACAAATTGTGTAATGCTCCATTTATACTTCAATACGTTTATTCATATGCTATGGCTGAAGATGCAAATCATCTCTATTTTTTTTACTATGAATTAATAATATTTTACATATTTAGTTTTCAAGAATTATAAAATTAGCCCAGAATTATTTAGGTATATATTGGAGTTCCAGTTTGACTTAAATGGTGAACTAGAAGCCGAGTAAAGACGGGTCGAAAACATTAGGTAAACAATTGGATGATGAAGATCTCTATACATTAGCCTTATTTCTTTCTGATAGATACTCTTTTGAGTTTTGAGTGAAGGGCCAAGAAGCTAGTACAGATTTAGAGAGAGATCCGATTTAATCGATGGAGACAATGCATTTCAGTATGGTAAAGAGCAAGTTCTTTGTCATAGGGTTTCATTATGTTGATAACCATGTACGCTCTTTCTTAAGAGAAATGGATCAGAATTTCTGGACGATTGAAACTGTGATGCAGAGCAGTATAGATGAATAGTTACTTGGCTAATTTGTGAAGAACTATTTATATTTAACAATTAACGTGTGATCCTGTAATCCAACCTTGTCTATGCTTCATCCATCAATCATATCATACTTCCATAAATTAAAAATAAGTACTGCAATCTTCAAAACTACAGGAAATTACATACATATGGATAGAGCTATTAATGCAACAAGGTACATGGTTTCCTTTGATCCCCAAATTTTCAAGAAAAACTAGGATTCAGCAGCCACACGAACTTTGAAATGTTACCTCGAAGATACTTTTAACAGTTCATTCATGGGTGGAAAACATCTTAAACAACATTTAATCATCCCTTACTTCGATTAGCAGATGAGTTTTCGCACTTGTCAAGTATTTGGAACTCTAAAGGGGCAAAAGTGTCCGGCTGCAGGCCGAGGCTAGAGCTCGTAACTTCATCTTTCTCTTCACTGCTGGAGGCTTTATTTTGTTCAGACTTCTGCCTTTCAAACTCTCTAAACTTCTGCAAGTACCTTAACATAACCTCAGAAAAGTTATCAAACCCTAATGAACTGAGAGCCCAACAAAGGTCATCTCCATTCACTGTTTTTCGATTCTCCTCGTGGCACTTGTCTGATGCTTCACTGGTTACAAAACTTATGAACTCTGTTACATATTATTGCATTGTTTCTTTGGCTTCTTTCGAAATTTTGGCATTCCGGGGGAGGATGTATCTCATAATCCTCCCAACTTTGGATATTGGAAGCAATTTCTTTTGCTCCTCAACCATTTACAAAAACGGATGTTATTAATTAGATCTTCTTCTAATTTAGAAGCACATACTTCGTTTCTAGTAATTAACTTCTTTATAGTGCTGCTGATATATGACATACACGCGTTATAAGTATCATCACGTGTACAAATTGAATGGCGGTAAAATTTTTGTAATTCTTCTTAGAAATTCTCATGTAGATGGAATTCATTAAGCTAGATGAGGATGCAAAAGCACTATCATGCATGGATGGGAGGCATAACTTGGTGGTTTAGGCATTGTTGGTATATGTGTCTTGTCAATGGCCCTACCTACCAAAAATTATCTTCTTTAAATATATATTGTTATAGCTCCATAGTAGTATTACATGCCCCC